AGCCCACAGAGGATAACTACAAGAAGAAATAAACACAGACAATTATCCTGGAGTTTATCACTGTGTTACTTTTAGTTTCCCAATATTTCTCATACCTTGGAAATATTTAAAAAATTCTTTTCAATAAAGAGAACTGTTAATTATATTTGACTATGGGTCATATTTATTTAATTGGACCTCAAGTATGTCTTAATAGAAACCTATACCTATTTAGAAAAATTGATAGTTAATGGTCTTTGACAATTTATGTGAAAAAACTACAGAAAACTGCAGATGCCCTTAAACAGAGGAAAGAACTGTGAGCTTTCCTATTAATCATGGAGACCATTTGCAGCATCAGTAGTAAGATTTGTTATATTTTACAATGAAGTATTCCAAGGTTGCCCTGACTTACATACTCAGTCACTGTTCAGTGTTCCTGTTCTTTAGTTGTTTATCCACCAAGCATTAGAAATATGAAACTGGATCAAGATGGAGTCTTGCAACTAGGATATTATAGGGCAGCAGGGAGGTTATAGTATGAGAGTCCTGCGAAACGAATGTCCTGCAGAGGGAAAGAATCTGTATCCTAAGTGATGAAGAAGTTTCATTCAGTGTTTGCATACTTTTCTGTAGTATAGAATAAAACTTTATTTTAATTATAGGTCCCGATCCTGTGTGGGTGAACTGTTTACTGTTGGTGCACAAAATTGTCTTTCTTGGGCCGTGGAGCTCCGAGCTGGTATCCTGGTGAGTTCTGCTCAGTGTTTGGGTCTACTGGAATTCTCTTGTAACTTGAAGTAATGTAGAGTGAAACTGGCCCGATACTTTTATTTTTACTCAGACGCTGAAAGCTAGTTTCTTCCCTTTTTATATAGTATTACTCAACTTAACAGAAACCTTCCTCTAAAATGAAATAAAATTTAGAATAAGCATTTGATGAAAATGAGTTTCTGGTTGTCAGTTTATCGGATGAATAGACAATGATTTTTCAGGTACTGGTGCATATCTAGGCATGGATCATCTCTTTACACAAGTTTGCCATCTTGCGTATGACTATTTGAAGCTGTTTATTAAAAAGATTGTTTCATTATTATTTCTATTGAAAATATATATGCCATCTAGTTAAATATAAATCTTTCTGATTTGTTATTTTTAATTCCATTTAAATTAAGATATGTTCCTCAAATTTTAAGTACCATTACTATTATGTGTTATGAGACTTATGAGCCATATTTTTATGAATAAATATAAAATTATTATCCATACCTTTAAGCCTATCTTGCTTTCTATCATTACCCCTCCTATACACTGTCTTCTGGTTTTCCTTTGGCTTATTCTGACCTTGTGTAATTGCTCTTATTTGTTAGGCCAACTTAGCCATAAGCAAAGAGCTATTATTTAATCATTCTTATTCATTTTCATGTGGTTATGGCTCTATATAAAACATTCCATATCATTTCTTAAAGTCACTTTTAAAAATCTAAGCTGAAGGAATGTGTTAATATTAAACTTTTAGAAATTTTTATAAGACATTATTTGGTCTTAACTTTCCATTTTGTTTGGTATATGAATGCATAACACATTTACTTTATTTCTATAAACACAAATGTTGATAATGAAGGCAGCTGGTGTTTCTCTGCTGAGTCTGAATCATATAAAATCAGAATGTGCAATTAGATATTTTAGGGGAACTATACAAACACAGCTAAACCAGAGGTTTTTAGTGATTCAAATCATAAACCCAAGCTCAAAATGGAAAAGGCACTTTAAGAGTAAAACATTCTACGAATTGATGAAGTATGAAAAATAAAAACACAGAAGAATAACCAATCATAGTGCCAAAATTACATCAATCATGCTAAACTCTTCAATTTGGAAAATTTAAAACAGAAGACTAAGGTTTTACTCAGAACATCCATCTTTAGTTTCAATTGCGTTTTTGTTCTCTGAGATTTATCAACTTGTTCTAAATTCAATCCATTTCAAATATACGATTGCGTTTTACGACATGGGAGAAATAAATGGTTTAACTCCCTTCAATTGTGCATAGCAATGCAATGGTTATAAGTTTAATATTAAGAATTACACAATGTCATGTGTAGCATTTCACTACAGAACCATCTTGCATTTGTGTCCCTGTATATCTCCCATTTAGATATAGAAAGGAAGCAAATTTCAACGATATTTGAAAACTCCTTTCATTCGTCAATAAAAATAACATACAAAGTGACTGCAGATGAAAATGTAGGAGGGACTGTATTTGCTTCCCATTTGGATCATAACAAGGTAGGTGTCTAATAAGTCTGGATTAAGAACAGGTGAACAAAAGAAGTCTAGTTAGAGGTTTTTGAAACCTGAGAGGAAGCCAACGTCTTCTCAATTTGAACACCCTTCACAAAAAAAGAGTAATAAAGAGAAAAGAAAGAAATCATTAGAATTTCATGAAATACATATGAGTGTATGTGGAAATAATTAGAATTATAGCTGATATAGGTTTCATTTGGAAGTATAGATGTTTTGAATTTCAAATGAAATTTTTAAGTGTAATTTTATCAATCATAAAATATCAGTATTTCATGCTGAGTTTTTAAAGAATATCTGTTAAAATGTTCTAATTTTCACATATTTCACTTGTCTCATTGCTTTAGGCAGTTATACTTAATGTTGAGTACAGCATCATTTGTTATAAAATACTTGAATTGAATTAAAGAAAATCAACAATTTCTGAGAGATATAAATCTAAATGGAGGAAGACATCAAAATTAGAAAAATAGAGTATATAGGATAATGTCAACTTTTCAGGAGTAATGTTTAAGTATTTATTTCCTCTAGTATATGTAAAAATATAGCAAATTTTACTATAAAAACACCAGTTAATATTATGTAAAAATGGTAATATTTTAAAAATCTGTAAAAGAATATAGAATCACCAAATAATATGCATTGGTCATAAAAAATTTGTTTCTAAATTTTATAATGTGTAATTCTTGGAGAAAGGTGACTCCTTAGTTTTTAAAATAGAGTACATCATAACTCATGTACATTATCATTGAACATTTACCATATTTGAATATTTTTAAAAATAATTTCAAAATAATGAACTGAAATACATTACTGTATATCTTGGAACTATAATAGAAAAAATAGTTCAATACTCAATAAAATTTCAGAGATAAATTCCAGTTTCAATTTAATTATGTATATTTAAATTCATACATTATGATTATGTGTTACTAAAGCAAACATATCTATCATATAAAATGCAAAATACAGTTTTATCATGTTTAATTTTAAATATTTTAATTCTTATTTTACCTTAAGTTACAAATTTTCACAAAAACTGCAACTTTTAAGGTAATCACCATGGGTCTCAAAATAACATTTAAATGTTAAACTTTTGGTGGACTTAGAATAAATTCCATCCTTAAACTAAAATTGTCTAACTTTAAAATCTCTATTTTTACTATAGAATATAATTTCATTTATGCAAGGAAACAAGAAGGAGACAATCTTATCAAGTTTAAAGAATTCAGTCCATGTTTAATATGATTTTGATTATGTACACTACAAGAGTTTAAAAGTTTACATTTTCATATTAATCTATGTTTTTATAATGTACTACTTGATATTAAAACCTTACATGATATATTGGCACTGCTATAAATTTTTTAAGAAAAATCCTATTGTAGATACTGGACATATATGATATATATATTTTTAAATGGCAACTATATAGAAAGGTTATGGTAAGTGTAACATTTACCATTCACCTTAATATAATTACTTGAAAGACACCTTCTACCATTCAATTTTATAGATTAAAACACTGAATCAATTCTTATGGGAAGTGTTAGATTTTTTCCTATTATGACATTTTAAATTTTTTTCTATGGCCTGGAAAATAAAAAGTGAATATTCTACTAACTCTGAATAGTGTTAGAAAAATTAGAAATTTTAAAATATATGTCATAATTAATACATATTTTTTAACATTCAGGAAAATTTAAAAGTCATATTTAATTCTGCCATGTAACAAGACCTCTTTTATTTCTTTCTTCTTTGAATCACTTGTTTCCCCTTCCAAATAATATTTTGCCTATATTATACTTTCTATTAGAAATGTGGACTCATTCACTTTACTGATATTAAATAGATTGTGTCTTCAATTAAAATGACCTTTCTTGCTAGCTTTGTTTCAACTGCATGCCTTTGGAAGAGATTCCTTTCCTTTTTAAAGTTTTTCCATTCTCCCTTCATTTTCTTTTCCATACTGCTTGCTGCACGGTTCCAGAGGGTGACTGACTGAGGCAGGTTGCAGAGAAATTCCTGGACGCCAAACGTCTAGTGCAGCGAATGAGAAATAACATCCGCGCAGCCCCTGGGCAGGTTCTAGGTGAACTGGCACCTCCTGTACTGAAAGACTTGGTGTCTGCTACTTGTGAGCTAATTATAAAGCACTGCTCAAATTCAAGACCATTCATTTATTCAGCTTCCTCTAACTGCATGTAATATAAATTGGTGCTTTTTACTGACGCCTGCAGATGAAGTTCTTGTTGAGTCAATCTTGTCTTGAATTTTGTGCCATGCTGCTAGCTGACCGCATTGCACTCTGTACATATTTCTAGTTGTGTTTCCTGAGGTGATTACCGAAATTTCAGTTTGAATGAAATTCTAATGCTCTCACCTAGAATCCATAGGAGAGCTACCGGAGTTAGGGAAGTTTATTGATGCTCTTTGTACTTCAACTTTTAATATCAGACCACATATTGAAACCATAAACACAATGAAAATTCAAAAACTATTCCGATGATATTGGAGGACCTTCCCCCTCCCTTTATTCTTAAAGAGCCAAGAGTGGGGAGCGGCTGGAAGAAATATGCTTAAGATCTAAGTCCTGGACTCCGTCCTGCCAGTGCTTAAAACTCTCAGAAATGTGCACCCTGAAGAACACCCAAACACCCCCTTTCGAAATCTAAAACAATATTAGTTTCCCGAAAGATCGGCAAAGCAAGTCTTACCGCGAAAGGCTTGTGGCAGGTTCCAGCTCAGCCCCAGACTGAAAAGTCGAGCAGCTGGTGAACAAAAGTTTTAGTTTTTTTTTGAACGAAGTCTGCAAAACTAATTTCCCTCAATATAGGGCTCAATTTCCGTTAAAGAAAGCAGCGCTTACAAATCTCAGAATTCCTGATCAACCCCCACTCCACCCCAGCTCTGAGAAATGGGAAACAATTCGATCTTTCACCCGGATGGGAAGGTTTATTTCGAAGGCTCAATTTTGGAGTTTACCTAAAAGCAAAAGAGAGGGACGCGGCCAGGGGAAAGTTGCGCCTTGGGGACACCCCTCCAAGATTAATCAATACTTTTTCCTAATTCAAAACAGATGTGTAGCCCAGGTTTCTGGACCCATTAATCCCTTTACAACTTCAAAGACCTGGTCAGCGTCCTCTGGACACCTGAGACAATGGAAAGAGCGAGCCACACTGCTGGAGGCTCCTTGGCCGCAGGGAAGGGTGACTGCAGATCTTCTCCCGGAGCGACGCATCCCAGACCTGACCCGACGGTTCCTGCGGCTCTTTACACGCACTGTTTCCTCGCTTGTGTGTAAACGACTCAGCCCCCAGTAGACGTGTCGCCCCCTAAGCAAGCAGCAGTATCCAAACTAAGCCTTCACTACCCCAAATTCACCGGCGGCAACTTTTCTGACTCATTCTCAGGGATGCAAACTGTAACCAAGGAAACCTGAAGCGCCCCAGCTACTGAGCTCTGGGGCTGCTGAAGTGTCATCTTTCTCAGTCACTGCAGCCCTGCGGTGGGCCAGGGGTGAGAGGAGCTGATGTGGGGGAGAAAGAAGATGAACTTCTGGAAGGAAATGAGGGGGACCTAAACTGATTCCTGAAGGGTAACTATGCGTGCAACCCACACACGCAACGCAACAGGGACGAAGCTGCGGCGGTCCAGAGCCAGGAAGAACGTGAGGAACCGCTGGCTAGAAAATAGAGTGGGGCCGGGTGGGGGTGCGGGTGGGGGTGGGGACCGAAAGCAGAGGAAGGGGGCCCCGCCCGGCCTTGCAGCGGGGATGCCAGAGCACCGGCGTCTGCACCGTGCTCGCCTCACGCTTTCCTCCCACTCACACCACCAGGTCCCTCTCCTTTCCGCTCTCCTAAGAGCCCTTTGCCTTCGGTGGCGCACAACCCTGCAACCTCCGCGCTGGCGCCCGAGCTCCCTCACAGCCCACCCCTGACTCCAGCCCGGAAAAGCGAGGCGCGCTGCGGAGCGCAGCCAGCCCGGAACTTCGAACTTTGAAAAACTTCTGGGAGCGCGCGCAGCAAACTAGCTCTGAGCGCTCCCTGGAGTGCCACCGCCTCCGTGCTCCTCCCGGGCTGGGCGCTCTCGGGGCTTTCCTGAAGGTGACATTGCCCAGATGGCACTGACAAATCATGTTTCCACAGAAAAGTGAGCTGGTAGGAGAGCGGGTGCGGGCTTGGGACTGACTTGAGCCACCGCGGCAGGGAAGGAGGCTCGGGGAAGGAGGCTCGGGGCGGCCGCGGCCCGGACCCGGCGGACGGGCGTGGGCACGCCGCGTGTGTCCAGCCAGCTGGGGGAAGTGGGACGAGAGCGCGCGGTGGCGCAGACTGAGCGGGAGTTTTGGAGGGAGTTTGCATGTGGTCAGCGCTGGGCTCCTAAGCCAGCCCCCAGCTCACGTTACACTCTATTTATAACCTCTCAGAGCCATTTCCCCCTGAAAGCAGTTCTCTGGGACCACCTTCTTTTGGCTTCAATCTCTTCCACTCTTGACATCTGAGTAGCTCGCAGGGAAGCTCCTCCAGGTCCGGGTGTTTATATGCAAGGGAGACTGGCCGCTAGGGCTCAGGACCCGGACTACCTGAGTCCTGCGGAAGGGCGCGCGGCTGTTACTTCGGGAGGGGGAAAATCGCTGAACTTCCAGTGGAAAGTGACAGGGGTGGTGGTGCAGTTTGGGCCCGTGTCGTGAAGTCTTCTGCCCAGAGCCCGAGACTTGCATGCTATGGAACACCCGCTCTTTGGCTGCCTGCGCAGCCCCCACGCCACCGCGCAAGGCTTGCACGCGTTCTCCCAGTCCTCGCTGGCCCTCCATGGAAGATCCGACCACATGTCCTATCCCGAACTCTCCACTTCTTCCTCGTCTTGCATAATCGCGGGGTACCCCAACGAGGAGGGCATGTTCGCCAGCCAGCACCACAGAGGTCATCACCACCACCACCACCACCACCACCATCACCACCAACAGCAGCAGCACCAGGCTCTGCAGGGCAGCTGGCACCTCCCGCAGATGTCCTCCCCGCCGAGTGCGGCTCGGCACAGCCTCTGCCTCCAGCCCGACTCTGGAGGGCCCCCGGAGCTGGGGAGCAGCCCGCCCGTGCTGTGCTCCAACTCGTCCAGTTTGGGCTCCAGCACCCCGACTGGGGCGACGTGCGCGCCCGGGGACTACGGCCGCCAAGCGCTGTCACCCGCGGAGGCGGAGAAGAGAGCGGGCGGCAAGAGGAAAAGCGACAGCTCAGGTACGGGCGCGGGGAGCACCCTCCGTGGGAGTGCGCAGGGGTTGGGAAGGGGGCGGGGAGATGTGGACAAGAGGGGCTGCGAAGGAGAAAAAGCCTGGAGGATGAGAGCGGTCTGGTCCTCCCGGCTCCCCGTGGCCAAATTCAGCGACGCAGCTCCCGTCCTGTTACTCGCGGGCACGTGTTTCCCTGAGGGTAACAGACGCAGCCAGCCTCTCTCAGCTCTCCAGGAGCCCAAACTCGTTTACCAGAAGGTCGTGAAAAAAGAGCAGGTGACAGTATGTGAAATCGATTGCGGAGCGTGACAGTGGGTCGGAGTCGGGGCGGGGTTTGCGCCCGGGACGCCGCCGTCGGTGGGGAGTGCGTGCGTGCGGGTGGTGCCGCTCCTTGACACTCCGCTTGCAAATTCCCGACTCGGAGTGGCTCGATTTTTCCCATCGTTAACTGGACTTCCAAATTGTTGCACAATATTTGGAACTTGCGGTGGAATTTGGCAAAGCGCATGAGAAAGAAAAGTTTCAGTTATTTTTTTCTTTCCTGATTTTAGAGTCCTTTAAATAGCGCCTTATTCCAAATGATACAATTTCCCCTTTCTTTGGGGGAAGACATTATCTAGGAATTTAGAAGGTTTGAAGGAATGTGTCAGAGAATCAAAAAGAAATATATGCACAGACTCTTGAAAGATTCTTAACAGTAGTTTGTACAAGGGCGGTGCCAATGTAAAGAGAAAACCTGAGTTGCAAAAGTGAAAAACAAAATCCTCTGCCCACGAGTAATATCGGCACAAGGACTTGGAAGCAAATAGTAACTCTGGTAGTGCTGGTTCGCTTCCTGCCTGAGGTGATGCCCTGGGGTCCCCGCAGGAGGCACAGATTTTAGGGGACCTGGTATGCAGCCTGGGAAAGGGAAGCCCACCTGGACGAGCGCCTGAAGGTGCGGTTGCAGCCATCCCCGGGAAATGGACAGATTTCCAGGCCAGTCTTCCAAGTTCTTAGCTATCCATGTCACAAAGTTGCTGAAAGGTACTTTATAATTAAGAACCTTGTCAAATTGCTTCCTTAGCTATACAGCGCAACCTAGGTTCCACTTTTAGAAATTATTTATTTAACATAAGGGTGTATTTTTCTTTTGCCTAAATGGTTAATTACTCCTAAAAGGCAGCTTCAGGTATTAGTTTCAAAGTATGAAAAATTCCCACCACTTGTAAAGCTTCAGGGGAGATGATTCATACGTGACAGTAATTGAGCAGTGCGTTTCGTTAGGACTACAGCAATCCTATCAATGGTTCTGCGGGGTTAGTACAGGATGGATGCTTTTCTGTCAAAATCTCGAAATAAAACTTTTACTTTCCAGGGTCAGGGGTGAACTTTTAATGCTCCATCACAAATTAGTTTATATGTAAGGAAGTTACCGGCACTGTCATTCATTTTTAATGGATTTTACTAAGGATAAATGTAATTCTCTTAAGAAAATGAGTTGAAAGGTTAATCCTAGCAAGAAAATTTCTACGTTCTTTAGGGGGAAAAAGGCAATTTTAGGATGCAGCGACTGTTTCACAGTCTGGGCATTTAAGATTAATAACTTTCGGAAGCAGTTCTCAGTGCAGGTTGGTCCGATAGCTCTTGAATCATCAAAGGCTCTCACCGTTTCCTTTAACTTTGAGCAGTAAGATGGCTATGTAGTGGATTGTTTCTTATACTTCCTGAAGCAAACCTACTCCTTTAAGCTTCTTACAGCAAGTCGAATTGCCATACAGAAACTTTAATTTTCTTTTTTTTTTTTTTTTTTTTTTTGGTTGGGAGAACAAGAGAAAGTAATACTCAAAATTCTCACTTCAACTTATTTTAATAAATTTTTTTTCAGTAGTTGGCTGATTCAATAGTACTTATCTCCTTCATCAGTTGAAAATAACCACAGAAAAAAACAAAGCTAATTTTTACATATTGAAGCTGGTAATTAGGGTACTGGATAGACAAAAATAAAAATTTTGTTAGCTGAATAAAATATTAAGATATTGCAATGTGAGTGGGAAATAGGATTAGTCATCAGCAAGGATAAAAAAAAAATCCCTGGGGATTTAGATATTTATTTGATAGTATGTTTTAAAAAATGTTTGGTTAACTAAAAGCAAAAATCACAATAAATTCTAGTTAAATCTTTGTACTGAACACATATTGAACATAAAATTTAGTCTACCAATTTCAGTGTCTGAGTTAGTTAGATCTTTAGATAGGTTTAAATGTACAATGTATTGCTCCTGTAATAATATTGTGTATGTTCAAAGTTATTTTATTAGATAGTGTTGTAAGGCCTTCTTGTTGTAACAGAAAGTGGGGGAATATAGAAAAGGATTTCAATTCTAGTATATTACTAATAAATATTAATTGTTGTAGAGTTTTAATATTTCAATATTATAAAAATAAAACAACTAATTTCTGAACTTCGAAGTTTTGAAAAATGTGAGATGAAAATCACGTCATTCATTGTAGAGACCATTTATATTATGTTAAGGAGGTTATAATTACTGAGTATTTATAGTTCAGAGTAAATACAGTTAATAAATCCAAGACAAAGTTAGAACCAAAATTCTGTACCCCTGCATCTAAAACCAAGGCTGTATGCATACGTATTCATCACAAAGTTTTAATAGAACTTTAAGCACTACACAATATTGATGGACAACCAAAATAGTTTTACTCCTAGCAATATGCTAAAACTACAATGTGCAACATTTTGCAGTATGCATTTATGTGCATTTCCATTCCACAAACATGCATTAATACACACAAATGAAAGCTCAAGAAGTTTAGTGGTTTGTGAGGAAATTTTTATGGACTCTAGGCTTCCATCATAGTTTATTGACAATTGAAAATAACCAAGTTTAATAGAAAAGTACACAATTACTTTTTATATGTGTTAAACAGTTTTGTAACTTTGAGCCTGCTATGCTTCCCAGCATTATTGGTAAAGCCAACATCTGCCACATCTTCAAAGGGACTCTTAAAAATCAAAAATTTATAACTGTACTTAAAACAATCGGTACAAAGCAGGTGATTCTGAAAAATGTCTATAAACAGTGCGAATTACTTTACTTCAATTACAGTTAGATTATTTTCCAAGCAATGTAATAGTAGGTATGAATTGCCCACTTTCAGTTGAAATAACTTAATCTAACTTTAGTGTTTGTGGAGATAATATCCAATATAAAAACGTCAACATTTTCTACTCAAATTTATACATTTTTTACTTTTTAAAATTTAAACTTACATCCAAAAGAAAGGAAGAGTGATTGGATGGGGTAAGTTTCAGTAGATTTTGAATCATTTTAGATTCTTATAAGGTAACAAAATTTTATTTATAGCTAGTAGATCATAAAATATTTGTTTTTAAACTGTGTGTATGTGTTTGACTATACAGAGTGACAATTAAATATTACATATAATATACTAAAAGTTATACCCAGAGTACTATTTTACTCTACCTAACTCTAGTTTTCTTAGATATTTCAGTCATCAGGTTTTCTGAAAAAAAAAAATAAATAAATAAAAAAAAAAATAAAAATAGTGCTGACTTTATTCATTTCTATGTTACTGGTTTATGGCTGTTCAGTATTTGCTTTACATTAAGAAGATAGTCTACTCAATCTTGATTAAAGGAGAACATTAAACAATTTAAATGTCTCCAAACTGCGGAATATATAATACCTTTATTATTCTTTTTCTAGAAGTGGCAGCTTAGTTCTGGGTGTGAGCATTTTAAAATGGTGACCAGACCAAAGAACAATAATTCTAACTCTCATTGACCTATTTGGGTGTTCTCTGTTGATTACATTCAAACGGCAAGACCAACAATTCTTTTAGAAGTAAGTGCTTTCAGGTTGGACATCAGCAATGAACAGGAGGAAGAATGCGAATAAAAATAGGAATAATTTACAGCTCTGTGTAAATCTTTATATTTATAGATTTTTTTAAAGTAAAGCATTAAGTGCAATCATGGCAATATACAAGATTAAAAATCTAATGCTAAATATTTAGAGTTTTAATCTTTTAAAAATAGGAATTATCAATGGAAACCACTCTGTTGACACACTTCAAATTGATTTTTACTAATAAACTGAAAAGGATATTTTAATCATTACCACATTTTTCCTGTGTTTGAAAAATAGACCTTTCATCCTAGAGCTGGAATCTAGGACTTATATTTATTATAAAAACTAATCATTCTAAGAAATTAATTTTACATAAAATAAATTAGCAAAAAGGATTAATTCTTTTAGACTCAGTGAAACATAGGAGACAAATTGTATATGTAATAGGAGAATTAATTTCATTTTCATCTAAAAATAACAACATCAGAATGAATTAATAGCTGATTTGAGTAAAAAAAAAATCCCCATGTTTAATTCCTCTACATTTGGTATGGTAGTGCTGCTTTGCTTGGGCATTTTTATTCATTTAGCATATTTAGAATGGCAACTTGAAGCACAAAACAATTCAGGAAGTTTATTCAATCATTTTTAATCTTCATTTCAAATGAGAAAAATATAGTACAACAACATTTTAATTTTATAGGTATTCACTTCATTAATTTATGTATAAATTTCAGTGTATCTCTTTTCAAAGTATTGCTTTGATAGTTGAAAGTATCTGTGGTTAGTGAATGTTAAGGATGGAAAAATATTTTTAAAAAGTGTAAGAATTACTTAATATTTGTTAATAGTTGTCGTGCCTGAATTCTCCCAAATTTTCTGTTTTAAATTTTCAATTTCTCTTGTTTTCTGATATGGCATTGTTTTACTTTATAATAATAAAATGTTTGTGACAAAAGTTATCTCATGAATAGACTATCAGGTTCAGAATTTTCCTCCTTGACTGTAATCATAAAATAAGAAGGATTAATTCTTGACTGGCAGTTAAACCACATTTCCTGGCTAATGGTCTTGGTGGCTGAGTCCAATGGATAAAAATGAGAAAGGAAGGAAAGAGGAAGGAAGGAAGAAAGGA